GATCGAACTAATTCCTGTCGACCCACGACCGTAATTGAACTAAGGATATGTTCAACCCTACTCGAGCTAAATGATTACGACTAAGAAAATCAAGGCAACCAAGCAACAAGAACAAAAGCATACAAGTTCGAACCGAAGAAAAAGAATCAGGTACAAATAACAAAACTGGTATTTCATACTTAGAATAATTTTTACAAAGGTTCGAAAAGACGCCCACAAAAAATGCACAAGTTTGCGGCAAAAGAAAAAGAAAGAAAAGACAAACTACTAATCGCCGCCAGGCCCAACAGTGCCATCTGCCTGATCACCTAGGCCATCCACATCTGCCCCTTCACCATCACCATCGCCCTCAAGATACTCATCTTGATACCAGGCATCCTCTTCAATCCGATCCATACCTGCATACCCCTCATCATCACCGGCCTCCAGTGTAGAACGATCGTAGCCACAAATGACCTGAGCTCCACGTGCCTTAACACGAGAATCCTCGAAGACGGCTTCTAAAATGGTTCCCGCCCTCATCAGATCTCTAAATATATCCAGCTGGGCCTCAGCGTGAATCTACTCCTCGTACAAATATCGAGGAACATCAGGATAATTAGAAGTGCAGGAAGAGGATGGTCGATCCAGTAATTGTGCCTGCTCGCCCTCAAGAGCGGGGACTCGATCACAAAGGCCAGAAGCCTCTTTCTCTAATTCTCCAATCTGTTCATCAAGCCGTTTTTCTTTAAATCTGGCCGTCTCCAAGGCACTCTCTCGCTCGGAACAAAGAACACAGAGCACGATCTCCAAAGCCCCCGTCTTCCTGATAGCCCCCGACCGAGCTAACTCTGCCTTCTCGAGATCCGCTGCCTTCTCGGCGACCTCGCCACTTAAAGAATCCCCTTTGAAATCACACTTCTCAAGCTCGGCATGCAGCGAGACCACCTGGGCTTGGAGATCGCCGCACTGGTCTTCGACCCCCTTACTAACCTCAAGTTCCTCTTCTTTATCTCTTAGCACCCCCTCGAGAACGCTGCATTTTTTGATGACCCTCACCAGCTCATCATCCTTTTCTTTCAGTTCGTCTCGAAGAACCTAGAAATTTCCACTTTCACTAAATCGCCTACAAATCTCACTGTACTTGCCACGGTACTCACGGTATTTTCGTTCCATGTTTAGAAAAATAGTCTTACGCCTCTCCTCTCTTCGGTAGCTTTCAATTTCCAGAATCACAGTCTGAAAGAGAAAGAAAAAGAAAGTGGAGAGTAAAAATGAAGCCTAAACGTTGAACTTGACAAACAAAAATGAAAGAAGTCGAAAATCTTACCCTGAGAGCGAGGTTGGCTACGCTCCTTGATAAGGTAGCATCATCCAGCTTTTCAAGGGTTTAACCCTCCACGTCAGAACATAGGGGACCAAGGGAAGTAACCATATTCTCCATATTTACCAACAAATCTCGATACATGGGGATTGCAATGGTCTGCAAGGACTTTTCTAATCTCACTTCGAGTCGGGTAAATCCCTCCCCCATATCCTCAACTCATCGGCATCAATATCAGAGCCCGTCTTATAGCCATCCTCAGCAACGCCTTTACCTTTCCTGTTGGCCAGCGAAGAAGGACCGCCAGCAGGTCGCGAGGACGATGGTTTATGTTGCCGTAAGTATCAGAGACCCTCGCAGACGGCCCTTCGGCTTCCATCGTGGCATCAGGAAGGGACATGCCCTATGTGGCTTTAGCCGATGGTAGAATCTCAGATAAAAACTCGATGTCATCTTCAAGAACTATTATCGTCATCTCACGGATGACAAAATCTCCCCTTACTGAATCCACAGCCCGGGCGACCCCATCATCGACGTCCACTGATCTTCTCTTACGGGGAACCAAATTCCCGCTGCTCGACGATAACTCCTCCTCATCCACTAGATGATGCAAAGGGGAAGCCGGAAGCTCTGTTGTCGATATGTCCATAGGCGGAGAAGAAACCGATGCCGAGGAAGCAGTAGGTGGGGCCGACGACTGATCAGACCTGGACATGGTGGAAGAAGGAACATAAGTAGATGACCGAGCAGGCCTAGCCGCAGTCACAATGGGAATAGACGCCGAAGAAGAGGCAACCTTCCTTTTACGTAATGCAGGAGGAGGAGCCCTCGACCTCCTCGAAGATCCTCGAACTGAAAAAGAAAGATTGAAGGTTATCACCACCAAGAATAAATCGCAACGAGCAAGCGACCATGAGGTCAACATAGCAAAAATTTATACAGGTTAACTTACTGGCCAAGGAAGAAGCAGGCCCGAACTTCTTGAGAAAGCCCGGCCCTTCACGAATTCCCAGAATGTGAGGCAGAACCCGGCCAACCCAGTTCGATATGTCCCCGACCAAAGAAGGGGGCGTAGTCTTGGCTATACGGAGAAGGGACAATTTCAGAGCCGGCGACTAAGACAAATCAAATGCTTTCGGCAAAAAATAGATACTTACGATCGTAATTACAAGTCTCAGGGAAGCTGTTCGCGTTGGTCACCACGTCTTCGGTCCTGACAAAAAAGTAGTTGTGCCAGAACTGACGATTTGCCTTGTCATCCATCTTCACCACTAGTCATTTACCTCCGGTGGCAAAGGTGCAACATCGTCCCCCTGTAGAAACTAGGGGTGAAGAGATGCATCAGATGGCGAAGTGTGACCTCGACCCCAGCCAACTCCGCAAATTGTGTGAGCATCCTAATAAGCTTGTAGATGTATGGAGAGAGTTGAGCCGGACAAACGCCATAGTAGCGACAAAATTCATCCATCAACGGGAGATAGGGAAGAGTATAGCCAACACAGAAAGGATATGCATAGAATATGCAATACCTAGGGCGGTGGATTTGTACCATATCACTCCTTGCTGAGATCAGATCGATGTGGGTAGGAATGTTGAATTTTGCCCTAAGATCAGCTAGATCGACCTCTTTCATCGCTGATTCCAAGACCTCGGGCTCGCCTTCAGGCGCCTTCAAAAAGTAGGACTTAACTTTCTCACTACGAGGAATTATTTCCTCCACCGTCGGAAAATTTTCATCTTTAACGGCGACAGAGATGCCATCAGCGCGAGGGGGCATAAGCTCCTCCAAAGGGACAAGCTCAGTCCTCGCACCAGAACCAGAGGATACATTAGCCATATTTTTGAAAGAGGATATTCAGGCAAGGAAGTATTAGAGGCAATAAGAATCGCTAAGACCAGTAAAGAAGATATGCGACAATGGAAGAAGAAGAAGAAGGCATAAGTTTTATATGAGTAAAATGCGTAGGGAGAAAATGAATGTCGTTACACCTGTCTTTATAAGAATTCAGGCATCAAAACCAAGAGACTATACCATCATTACCTGGCACTGGAGTCGAAACGGCAGCCCCAACTGACAGTCGCACGGGAAACAACACAGAGCATCGGGAAAATGCAACATAATGACGCACAATTTCATGACGTCATTCTGGTGCGAAAGCGACACAACCCCAAAGGTTGCGGTTCACTAAAGGACAATCTCGTTTGAAACGTCACTGCTTGACTCGCTCGTCCAAATTTTGCCAACTGCAGTAAACAGAATCCGATCATTAAGGTCGCCTGAGGCCGACCTTAATAAGCGGAGGGACTAACTGTATGAGTCGATATCTGTCTCAGTACTTGGGGCTAAGCAATATCAAGAAAAGAGTTAGCCGAGGTTGGTCATGAGATGGCGAAGCCCGTGATCGAGATGCAGAAGATGGTCGGTGTCGAGCGCCATAAGAAGAGCTGCAACAACTAGTTTATTTGGACAGGATATTAAAGAGGACATTAAAGAGGATATTAAATTGGATATTCTTTGTACTTGTAGTACTAGGGTTTATTAGGGGTATGTCCCATATAAATAGGAAAAAAGATAATGAACAAGGGCATGTGATATTCATTGTGATAAGAGAAGACCTTGCTAAAAGATTCTCTTCCTCTTGAAAAGATACAAAGAATACCCTTTTATCAAGATTCTTGTTCATATTATCCTACACTTTTCCATCAAAATCCGAGAAGATTTCGAATGTTCTAATATTTATCTATCACTCATCATTGTCAGGAATAATCACCTAGCTCATTATTTATTGAGTGAATCACTTCTCCTATTTGCTCAAATGCCATTTATTGCTATTTATTATCAGTCATTCTTTCATTTTTGCTTATACTTTATGACTATTTAATGCTTGTTATTGTCAACTCCTTAATGAATTTGTCCCACCTCACACACATTTTCAAGATTCGCATCTAGAAATATTATCATTAACTCGGTTTAACCCGTCATTACATAAATATAATAGTTTCAGCCGAAAGTTATACTTTTTGGTCAAACACTAGGAGCTCCCGCTACAAGACAACCTAGATTTAATTTTATTCTCCTAAATTTAATTCCTTATCATCGGCTATGATCAAACTAGAATTTTTGCTTCGTCAGCTTGGTCTCAACTAAAATAAAACATGATTATTAGTTTCCGCTTGATTAATGGCTATGATCAAGCCTTGAAGCTTCCCATTTTTCCAAACATAAAAAACAGATTAGGATTCTTTGACAATGATTCCCAAGTTACGTATCAAATCCAAAATCTTATCTTAGCTGGACTTGGTAAACTCTAAACCGTAAATGTCAAGGATGTTCACCTTAATAGCAAGCACCATCGGCTGCTTCTTTCTTTTCTCTTTTTCATTTTCTTCCTTTCACATATCTAGTATGTACACTGGGTTATCTGTTTAAACAATAGGATCAGGACGCCATTACTTTAAGAAACAGGTAAACATTCAACTATATTAAAAAATATAAGGAAAATTGATTTAACATATATAGACTTGCTTAACATGTTTAGCAAGCTAAGTAATTTTCTAAGTTACTAATCATTTTTTTTTAAAATGGTTATCTGTAATTGTATTTTATGACTTAATGTTGTAAAAGTTCCTCCACACTGCCATTGAGTAGAAGTTAAGAAAAACAATATCGATCATTCAGTGTGACAATTTAAAACAATTGAGATCAGTAAACATATCATTCTATTCATGTCCAACGTTCATTAGACTGGTTATTAGACACCAAAAAGAAATCAAAGAAACACAAAGAACAGCAAAAGAAGGAGTCACCGGCAAACTTTCATTTTTCCCCCATGCATGTTTCTACTTTCTTGTACTACATCAGAAATTAAAAACTTGAAGAAAGGGGAACCCTGGGCCAGTAATGTACAGAAAACCTCACCAAAATCTATTTCCCGAAAAAAAAAACCCTTCCTCATTTAAAAAAAAGGTTAACCAAAAAAATAAAATAAAAAAGGTTTCAAGTTAATAAAAAACCTAAGTGAACAAGCTCAGAAGTCTGAGTTGTTTTCCTTGATGATGTCCAAGACTACTGTCGAAACACGTAGTGGTTACAGATACCTCTGATTTTCTTGACGGAGTTCTGGACCGCCGCTTCTCCGGCAAAGAACTGTGTACGATCTCACTCTGAAAACCTCGTGTTAGTAAACTGAGATCGAGATTTTCCAACTGCAACACTTTTGCTGCTGCTTCATCTGACGAACGACACCGCTTTTGCATCTTCGATCGCGTGTTTTGCGTATGATTTTGAAGCTTAAACACGTTTGTGCATTCAGATTCCTCATCAACTTCTGCTGACTTACCGAATAACTCTGGTATCGGGCTTAACGTGCCACCGCGGAGGACGGTGTCCACCGCCGCTTGACAAATTTGCCAATTGCCAGTCCATAATAGTCCCACAACTCCGTTCACAGGGTTCACTGTCCTTCCAGCTGCTTCATATAACAAGGACTGAAATAGTCCTGCCAATACTTCCAATTTCTCAGTTCAGAAACAAAAAATAGAAGAGGGATTGAAAGAAGAAAGCAAAGAGAAATTGAGTTTAATTAATTAACTTCTATACATGACAGTGTAAAATAAATTAAGTTTAATGAGTGGAACTAGTACTAAGTAAACATAAAAGGTAAGATAGACAATATGTTACAACATATTAAATTATGATAACAGTATATATAAGTTAAATCCAAATAAATTTACCACGTACTTACCAGGGCGTTGGTTTCTAGGGACAGCGGAAATGAAGGACATGAGACCGGCACGGCCGAAGAACTTGGCAACAAAAATGGTAGCATGGCCTTGAGCTTCAGGAGTTTCAATCCATTGCAAACAGGGTCTAAGAATACAGTTTTCACTGCATCCCTTTCTCAGGACTCGACAACCATTACAACTCATGATTCTCTCCTCTTATATATGTCTTGATTAAAAAATATATGCTTATTCACCGGGCAAAATGCCTCACTAGGGCAAGAAGAAAGATTTAAGCTAGATTTGTTAATAGGGAGGAAGGTGGAGACAAAGATCAAATCTTTGCCCCAATACAGAAAGTAAGCAAGAAATAGGAGAGAGAAGAAGAGTATGGACATGGCAAGGAGAATGAAGGGCGTACATATAAAGAAGACTAAGCATCAGTTTCCTTTTCTTTTATTTTTTTTGTCGCTTGAGTGTGCAGTTAAGAGTTCTGTTAGTTCTTTTATTGCTCGGACCACACTAAGAGCTTGTTTGGATGATTGTTACTTTAAATATGATACTTATTTTGATTATTACTTAAATTTTATTGTATCGTATAATTAATTTTGTCGTTACGTAACGACGAAATGTACCATTTTACGTAACGATCGATTTGATGTGGTCGCGTGGTTACCTTATCTTTTTCTCTCAATCTCACCCTTAATTATTGTTAAATAATTTTATTTTATCATTTATCCTACCTTTTTATATAGTAAATTTACCTTATATCATAATTATTTTTTTTATAATATTACAAGTTTACTCTTTATATTGCTGGTGTGTGATATCATGAAACGACGACAAACGACATAATATATCCAAACATTGTATTCATTAAACGATATAGTATAATACAATACAATACGATACAATACATTATAAAACGATATGTAACAACCACCCAAACAAGCAAAAAAAAAAAAAAATTTATTGCACCACTAAAAGTCATTCTTTGACCGTGATTTTTAGATGTTTTGAATTGTTAACTATCGTGATTTATAGTACTTTTTATGTAGTTTTAAAATATATAAATTTTATTTCAAAAAACTTAAAAAATTTATATCCGAATTTATGATTAAAATTAAAAAATTTAACTCTCGAAATTCAAGCTTCACCACATAAATTAGGATAGCGAGAATAATATATTTTGTGTGATTGAGTAGTGGGCAGTATTAGTATGATGTTGGGTAAAGTGGAGTTATGGGAGATAGTTGCACTCTAGTTGCGTTGTGTATGGTTGGGTTGGATTCCCAAGAGTGGCGTAGCTACATTCATTCGAGGGAGGGTGGTTAACCAAACACCTTTCACGAAAAATTATATTATGTATATATGAAAATATATTATCTATATAGGTCAAAAATTATTTTTTATGTGTATATTAAATTTTAAATATTCTTCGCAAAATTATTGTCGCCACTGTTCCCCAAGTATTGGGCGAAAGCGGCTCCGGGTCACCACGGATGACAGCCCGTCAACCGTTGGATTCTCCTTTTCTTTTTATTATTATTATTATTATTATTATTATTATTATTATTATTATTATTATTATTATTATCCCCTCTCAGAGTATTAACTGATAGCCTATCGCTTTCAAAATCAGATTTTTCCCATATGAGTACTCAATGTTAATTATACTAGTGTAATTTTCATTTTCTATTTTCCGAGTAAGTGCAGAATTTATTATCCAATAAAGAAGCAAGTGGCAAAATAGATGAGAACTAAATTGATCAAGGAGGCACGTACAGACTACAGACTGGTGGGTACAGTAGTACCAAAAAAATGATGTCTACAATATTACTATCACAGTTTCAGAATTTCTCTCTCTATATTTTTTCTTATGCAGCAAATTAAACACTAGAAGTTACCAAACAAACATTGTATCAATATTCTGATAGTACTTGAAAAGCATTCATGATTAATTTCACGTGTCATTGTATTTTTACCCATTATATCATTAAAGTTACAATTATTTTTGTATCATTAATGTTAAAAATATTTTATCGAAAATAACAATTTTATAGTTCTTGAGAGTCGAGGCTCTACAACATAAGAAACTCATGGTATATACGAGACATTTTGAGAGAGAAGAACGACATTACTATTATCCTATATAATACAATATATATTGTTGGGATTTGGCGAAAAAAAGATGAATCATTGCTACTATAGTTGTTCATAGCTACTCTTTGTGTTTTTGCATACTCTTTGAGCGAGTAGGAGAAGCTATAAAAATTACACATTACTACGTCATTATAAAAACCAAAGCGCAATGATCAAAGCAGAGAAAGGTCGATAGGAAAGAGGAAGAAGGTGACAATGAAATAAAATTAGGTCACTGTCACAATATTGTCTTGGTGCGGACGTGGCGTCCTTATCCTTCGAGCTACAGCTGAAGCATTTCAGATACCTTTAACTTCTTTTTTTCCCCCAAATTTTAGATGCCTTGAATTAGTTAATACCCCCACAACTTTCGCTGGCCAACACATACACATGTATGCTTGATCTGGCAAAAGTTTTCCATGAAATCATTGCCATTCCATTTTTAGTGAAGGAGATTTGTAGCATATATAGAATAATTTTACGAAGTATTTGCTCATTTGTGAGGAGCGAAAACAGTCGTTTAGAGGATTAGATTTTGATTAAGTAGTTAAGTGGTAAACTTTTTACATTGTCGGTTTCACCGTACTACAACCGTAGCAGGCTTGTGTACCTCTAGTTCTGGAAGGTACCTGAGTCTCAATACTATATTAATATATGGTAGAAACAACATATGTAGGTATCTGTATAGGTGACAACAAGAATGTGCTTATGTATGATATATGGTAGGGCAATAGGGGAAAGGCTCCAGCCCAATAGGGACATCACACTCACGTTTCAAGCTCATTTCTACGGTGGACTAGAATCTCTTAAAAGAGAGTGAGATATTCGCGCTTCAATCTGATTTTTTTTTATTTTTCTTTATTTTTTTCAACTGTAATTATATTTCCATCAATATTTTCTATATTAAATTTATGGTCTTTGGTAGATAAATTTGTGTACGGGTAAAATCGGGGGCAAAGTTTCCCCCGATTCCCCGATGAGAGAACAAAGGGGAAGCACGGATCGACGAGATTGTAATTTAGGCCAGAAACCCCTCATATCGAGATCCGATAGGAATGAACGATGTATCTAAGACGAGACATGGTAAAGCGACGTGTCTCGGATCGAGTATAATTTCTGTACCTCGGGAGACGCGGTGAACGAGTATGCATGATGGATAGGGGGCCGCAATATTCGCCCTTGATAGGATATTACGGTACGAATCTCGTTCAGTATCAGTTATGGATCAACAATTACCTGAAAGAGAAGATTTTTACCCTTTTTACACTTATACTAGGAATGAAATTCTCCTACTATATAAAAAAAAGTTTTTCTTTTAGCCTTACACATTGTAACACGCAATTCAAAGAATAAAAATTTATCTTTGTCTTCTAGCTACTGTTCAAGGCATTACTTGTTTGTTCTATTCTTTACTCGCGACCGAGCTTGTACCAAGGGTCCGGCCGATGACGAATTCCACTGTTCAATCTAAAATCAGGCTTGATCATCATATTGCAATTGGTTTGATAATTTATTTTGTCTTTAATTCATCTATCTGTTATTCTTTATTATTCGTATTGAATAAAACAACGTATCTTTTAAACCGCGTACAAATTTAATTGTTACTCATTTTTGGGGTAAATATTTTGGCGCCCACTATGGGGCTAAGGATAATAATGGTGATTTGGTACGAATCTCCATAACACACCCTATTTTATGCTTGTTCTTTGAAATCTTAATTCATGTTCAGCCTAAAATGTCTAACTCTCAGTCTGCTCACTTGAACGTTGACGCTGAGTCAGGCCATCACGGGAAAACAATAATGTGGCGCCCAATAATGATGTGCTTGCTACCAATCCCAATGGTGTTCCAGTCACCGACCCGTTCGATGCTACCTCGCAGGTGGCCATCAATATCAATTTGTCAACTGATTCTGAAGACAGTGTTCGCGGAGGACCCCGACCTACGGCTCGAGAAGTGCCTGACGGTGAAGGTGATGGGGTGAGCCTACGACTAATTTTCGAGATGTTGTAGGCTCAAAAAGCGGTGATAGCACAATTGTAGAATCAAAGCCACGTCCCTAACAGAATCGAGCCCGAAAAATCTCGGGAAAGAACTCGGAGAGACGAACAAAGTACCGAGAGACCGGGTGAAGCCGAGCTCGGGAAAGCTTAAGAAGTAATGAAGATGCTCGAAGCGTTAACCAAACAGGTGGAGTCAGGCGAGAAAACGATTGAGGCCAACGACAAGAAGGTGGAAACATACAACTCCAGGGTCGACCAGATCCCAGGAGCACCTCCAATATTGAAGGGACCGGACTCCAAAAAATTCATTCAGAAGCCCTTTCCTCCGAGCGCGGCACCAAAGCCGATCCCGAAGAGGTTTCGAATGCCCGATATTCCCAAATATAATAGGACCACATATCCAAATAATCATGTAACCTCCTATACATACACGATCAAAGGCAACGGTTTGTAAGATGACGAAATTGAGTCGGTGTTGCCGAAGAGGTTTGGGGAGACTTTGTCCAAGGGAGCGATGATATGGTATCACAACTTGCCTCCAAATTTCATTGACTCATTTGCTATGCTTGCAGATGCTTTCATAAAGGCCCATGCTAGAGCCATCAAGGCCGAGACCATAAAGTCATATCTTTTGAAGGTCAAAAAAAGGGATAACGAGATGCTTAGGGAGTTTGTGTCAAGATTCCAGATGGAGCGGATGGATTTTCCTCCCGTTGCGGTTGATTGGGTTGTTCAGGCATTCACTTAGGGGCCCAACCTACGAAGTTCTGTGGCTTCTCAACAGCTAAAATAAAATTTGGTGGAGTACCCAACGGTAACCTGGGCCGAAGTCCACAATAGGTACCAATCGAAGATCAGGGTCGAGGACGACCAACTCGGGGCCCTTCTGGATCTATTTACCCTATCAGGAGATCTAAGAGAGCCATTGATTAGGAGACAAGACCGGTATGAGATCGATATCAACCATGCAGTACAGATCAAAAGAGGAATGGATCCAGGCATCACCGAGTGAGGAACGAGAAGAGAAGCGATTGAGGGTCGAGTGGCCGGGGCTTGATGAGAAAGAACGGATTCAACAGGTCGCTCGGGAGTAGGGAAGCACCAATATTATCTGAGTATAACTTCAACGAAGATGCTACAAGCGTTGTATCGGTCATAGGGCGCATAAGAGAAACAAAGTGGCCCCGACCATTGCAGTTCGACCCAACCTAGAGAGATCCTAACTTGATGTGTAAGTATCACGACAATCACAGTCATAGGACCAAAGATTGGTGATATCTAAGAGAAGAAATTGCTCGACTATTCAACAATGGACACCT